CACTTGGCGTTTCCAATTGGCGTCAGTTGGCGCAGAGGAGAAACGACCGGCGTGCTTTGCTGAACGCGGCCAAAATCGCTTAGGCGGTTACGGCGCCAAAAAAGAAGAAGAAGAAGAGTTCCACATTTAAATAGAGTATATTTAAATACGTGTATTTACCATATATTTATGCATCCATCCGCTCTGAAGCCTTGCTAACGACTTCCACATTTCAATTATTTATTTCGACGTTTTTGACGGCGACCTACATAAAATTTGTATGTATCTATGTACATATATAAATACAAGTACCTACACCCATATACAAAAACGTTGATGCGTACACATTTTTATCATGGCTGTATTTTGCTAACATTCACGCAAGACTATTAAAAAATCGTAATTCAAATCCAAATAAAAGCAACCTTGGCTTGTCTCGTCACTGCCACTTCAGCAAAATGGCCATGCCCCAAAATAATATTATCGCACGAGGATAATATTTAGCCAAGAAAGGCACTTACATACATACCTCTGTACATACTCATCCAAACATAGGTATATAAATATGTAGCAATAAAAACAACAAAAAATTTACTACATACTACTTGTAGTACAGCAACAGCAATAACGATTATATTGTAGTATCTCAGCTACTACATATTGACAACAACTACATACTACTCGTACTACAGTAACTTATCCTAAGCAATTACGATTTTCCAATTGCATGTGTGTGAACGTGTCTGTCTACTCTGCATACATAAATATAATTGTTATTACTACTATACTTGTTTTGCTGTTGATTAGTGCTGCGCAGGCGCCAACAACACCGCCCTTTGGAACTTTTGCGACGCTGGACAATGGAACGTAAACAAAATATGTATATAATACATACAATAATAAGTACTAGTAGTAAGGTATGTAGTTAGATGAAACAAATAGAGATAATGCAACCCACCCAGGTCGGCGCGAATTCGAGAGCTGCAAAAGAGAGTGAAAGAGTGCCAGCGAATCGCGAAAAACTTCTTAAGGCTGATCTATTCGAAATTCATAATGACACATGTACATACATGCATTTATCTGAAAATTACATATGGACTTGTTTTGGTTCTACTGGCACTCATACGTTTAAAATCGCTCTTAACAAACTCCAGCCGGTGAAACTCGCTCTTTGAGCAAAATTTTCAATTATTTGTATATTTCGGAACTTTGTCGCGTTTTAGCGCGTTGCTTCTCTTGATTTTCCAAATTCTTAGACTGCATATGTCGGTATATGTATGCAACAGTGGGCCATAGTAAGGTAGAATTTTTCAAATATAAAAAAAATAAGAATTCTCGATTCCTACTCGATACTCGGTAATCTCACATTTTAAAAATTGTCATTGAGTCTTACTCAGCATATTATCGAAAACGTTTGAAATCGGAAAAACAGAGAAAGTTGAAACGACAATATTTGATACCTTCTTCATTTGTTTTTAATATTTTCCTTTATAAACGGTACATAAATTTTGGGACTTAAAACAGTTGTTTTTGTCAACAGCAATGAAATAAGACTGTTTTAGTTTTTTTATAACAATAAAATATATTTAAAATTGACAACTAATTATGAAAAGCAGGTCCATAGAAAATGTGCTTAGTCCATACTAAACGAACAAAATCATAAAGAGAGAATGCGGTAAAAAGTCTTAAACGAGCCTATAAGTCAGCAACAGCTTTATTTTGAAATTGCCCGATTATTGGCACTGAAACAAGATGAACTTAGGAAGAAAAATGCATTTACAGTTTGGGAAAATATTGACAACAACAAAAGTTTGACGGCTTTCTGTTCCTCCGGAAAATTAATAAAAACAAATGGCTAAAGGCTTTAAATTTGTCAAGATATATAAGTTTCTGACGTTCTCACCACTCGAAAGCAAAAACAAAGTACCTGTAATTTGTCAAAGAATTATGGCAAATTGTGTGTGTGTCTCATGTGTTTCTTGGTGTAAAAGGCGCCAGCACTTTTCATATATGTCTTGTGTTGGTGTTGGCGCGGCAACTCCGGCTACAGTGTAAACGCAATGGCGCCGCGCAGTGCAGTGTTACCAATGCCTATTCAGCACATTTTCGTTGTGACTACTTCAACAAAAAAGTGCCTATAATAAATTATATTTAAAAACGTGTTAAGCTTATAAAATAGAATAAAGAAAATGAAACAAACACATAAAAGCTTGAAAAATGTAGTTGGTTTTGGTCATGGAACTTATTTTATAATCAACTTTTCAAAACGGTCAAATCAAAAAATCATTTACATATGATCAAGGATTAACGAACAAAAAAATTGCATCCCCACCCAACTTAAATCGGTCTACAAAGGGTTAAATATAACAGACAAAGCCGCTGTTACTTGCCTTGCGCTTAGAATAACACTAAGAACTACGGGCATTCTAGAATTCTGAAAAAGCTTTGCGTTTATCCCAGCCCGTCTATTACACCCTCATACCTCGTCAACTAGGACCAGGCAGGGCAATGTTGGGAACGAGAAATTGTATGCGGTGAAAGGTAAAAGAAACACCAGATTTTTCCCGTAGCGCTTTTAACAAACCAGCCCACAGTGCCTACAACAAAAGCAAAAGAACATTTAAAATGCGTACTACAAGCCGTTAATGTTGTTGTGTCTCAGAAACAACAATAAAATGCTCATCATCAAGATAGGGTGAAGAATGCGCGGCAAAATCAACAGACAATGCAGCAACAGTACTCGCAACTACATACACAGCGAAGAGAGGCGAAACATGTTTAGATACAAATATTTGTAGCTGCATCGTTGGAAGGCAACAATACTTGCCACTCGCAGGAGTATGTTTGTGCGTGTTGGTAAAAAAGGAGCGGCGGCATTCGGCCAGTGCGAATTTATGGCGGTGAAATTGTTGTTATCATTATCGCGTTCAGTTGTGCAGTGGTAGTTGGCGTTGTTATTGCGGCTATTGGCATTCTCGTCACATTCTCCACCAACTACAGTGCAAACTTTTCATTGAGAATTTCGTGTTGCAGCAGACAACAAAGGCAAGAAAGGCCAATTTTTTTTTTTGTTATTTTCTATAAAGTATAAAAACAAATAAATATGCATACATATATGTGTGTATGTAGTGAAGTTCCTACCTATGTGTGTGTGTGTGTGTGTGTGTGTCCATTTTCGAAAATTTTATGCGGCATTTTGCGACATCAAATTTTACCTGTTCTCATGCAGCCTACCACCACCGATTTGCTGCACTCAAGCGTACATACATACATACATACAATAGGTAGGTGTGTAGATATATACCTGCAGACAATAAGTTGGATTAAATTCACAATTCAATGAGGACAGCAGTAGATCTTGCGTGGTGCGCGCGCGCTTTGTTGTTGTTGTTGTTGTCGCATCCACCTCTGCCGCTGCTCTGCATTTCACCTTTGC